TTTATTTATTTATTTATTTATTTATTTATTTATTTATTTATTTATTTATTTATTTATTTATTTATTTATTTATTTATTTTTTTTATTTTTTTATTTTTTTATTTTTTTTCTTCAGGAAATTATTATAATTCTAATTAATCTATTGCTAGATAAAGGGGCATTGAAACCTATTATTTTTATGATTTGATTAATATTTCAGCCTGGGAAAGTTCAAAACTTAGTCGATTTTGTTGATTACTTGACCAAAGCTTTGCATGCCTCCAATCCTGTGGGTTTAGTGATTTGGTATGATAGTGTTACAAATAAAGGAGATTTGAAGTGGCAAAATGAGCTAAACTCATCAAACAGGTAGGAAATATTCCTATATTTCAATGAATCAATCATCGAATAACCAATCAATCAATCCTTCAGTCAATCCTTCAATTAATCCTTCAATCTATCAATCAATCAGTCGGTCAATCAGTCAGTCAGTCAATCAATCAGTCGGTCAATGAGTAAGTCAATCAATCAATTAATCAATTAATTTAGTCTATTTTTCAGCAAACAATAAGAGAATAAATTAGAAAATTGAATCCTCGATAGTAAATAGATACCAATAATATATTTAACTCCATGTGTTATATTTGTCTACAGCCAATTTTTTGATGTCTGTGATGGAATATTCCTCAACTACACATGGTCAATACACCAGTTGTCTGTTTCTGGACATGCTGCAACTGCCTATCGGCGATCAACAGCAGATGTCTATGTTGGTGTAGATGTTTTTGGGCGTGGCTGCTATGAGGGTGGTGGCTATAAGACTCGAATGGTGGGTAATTCTTACTCAGTGGGCAGGAAGTTTTAACTGACATTTAGATGTACAACTATGTTCAAACATGTTCAAACTAAAGTTATTGATTTTGTTCCATGTTAACCCCCTCCCCCCCTTCCCCATCACCACCAATAATTTTGCCATCATCATCATCATGATCTTTTCTACAGGCTGTGAAAGCGGCTAGGGAAGAGAAGCTCTCAGCAGCAATTTTTGCCCCAGGTTGGGTTCTAGAAACTCAAGGAGAGGAAAACTTTACTGTCAATGAAAACAAATTTTGGCATCTTCTGAGTAAAGACTGTCCTACCCATCCCATGGTCAGGAGTATACCATTTGTCACCAATCTTTGTCAGGGTTATGGAGAAAAGGTGTTCATTGATGGGAAGGTACTGGTTCACATGCTATAATATAGAATATACAATTGTATATCTAGGCCATGTTTCTATCTCTTTAGACTTTATATCATCCATTCCTTCATCCATCCAATTATCTATCCAATTCATTTATTAAATCAGTCAGTCAATCAGTCAGTTGTCATTATCCTTCTATCCATTTACTGTTTCTTTAATTTATTTGTCAATCAATCAGTTTATTTGCTTTGTTCCTACACTACACTATTTTACTTATCCATACATTTACTTCATGTTCATATTTTCATTTTTTCATTTAATAATATTTTATATATTTTGGCTCATTTGTTCACAATTTCTATATATATCTTATATATAGTTTATAATTCCATTTATTGATGACTTTTTCATTCATTCCATCTTTTATTTTGTTCATTTTCTCACTTTTCTTGTCTGTATTCATCTTTATATTTCTTTTTATTGATTGCTTCTTTTCCCATTTTCCTGTTTTTCTATTACATCCATCCATTCTTYCTTTCATTAATCTGTCCATTCAATAACAGGTTGCCYTCAGCCACCCATGGACTAACTTAAGCTGTCAACAAACTCAACCATCTTTCAACAATGCATTTTACAACCTTGGAAAAGGAGGCATAGTTATCAGTGATGTTATGCATAGTCTGGATRATGCTTWCAATGGTGGGGGRTGTCAGCTGGTCCAAGGACGTACAARTCATACTGCRCAGAAAGCTAAGGGTGTTGTAAGGTACAATGATTACTTTGCAAGATCRATAATTGATCTTAAAAGTAAATTGTTGCCTTGTGAATAGTTGGCTAACAGATATTTCAAATGTATCAAGATAGGTGTGGATGCACACAACAGATTCTCTTGCACAAACACCATATTAAACACACAAAAAAGCGCGAAAAAATTGTYGTTTTTACAAGAGCCTTGGACATTTGCATTTTGTCAAAATTGTGACTAATCATGTCTTATCAGAAGGCCTAATGTTTAAGAAATGCAGGTTTTGTCTCAACTCGGGAAAATGTAAATTGTTAGGGCTATTGTAATTCAACATTTTCTCGTGCTTTCTTTTGTTTTCAGTAAGACCTTTTGCGCATGAGAATCTRCTGTCAAATAAAACCACGGTTATTCGCTTTCAATTTGAAAATTTTTATTCAAACATTTGGGCCACCCATTTGAGATGACTAAGAACTTATGTCAAAGTTTGACATTTTTAGGTTGTTTGAAGCTGACTTTACAATGTCAAGTGGAATTCTCGTTTCTTTTACGTATAAGTTATCACCAGCCAATTGCTTTGAAGTTGGCCTCCAATTTCAGACAGACCGTACACCTACTTACATACTACTCTGYCCTCCTCCTGCAGATMYAAAAGGTAATTTTGAATGGTTATTTACTTGCTATTTTCARTGAATRCACTCCAAAGTCAATCTCATAAAAAAATCTCAGAAATGGAGTTTAGTTGATGAAACGAATTTTTTTTKATCAAAGTCAGTGWGTGACATGCTTATAAACCAGAAACGTTTGAACAYTTTATTTTTTAATTTAGTCCAGTAACACTGAAACCAGTAGTGATGATTTTTATCGTTATTTATCGTTATTTTAAGACTATGCAAAAGAAAGTCCAGAGAACTCTAAACTTATTGACATGTTTAAACACAAGTATGGCGCTAGTCCTTCACGGCTACTGTCGTCATCGGTTTTCATGTCACCCATTGGTAAAGAGCACTTTGAGGCTTATGCCCCACTAACCAAGAATGATGACCATCTYGTACAAAAAGACTTTGGTGTAGAGGCTGATGCAGGTCCATGGAAAACGAGGTTAGGGGCTAAATTCCTAGATGTTTCACAAATGGTTTAAAAAGCGTCTATTTGCAACACGTATCTATTGTCATTTTGCCAGGCATTATCTTATAACTGGACGACATCTTGTTGGTTGTAAAGTGAAGGAAATTCGAGTTGTTTGYGCAAAACCTGGTGACGATGGAACTGACATTCAAGGTTAGTGACGTTGCATGTAGATCACTCCCTTTTATAAATGCACGATGTTTGGGTTGTAAGCAAATTAGCAAGAGCTACCCATAGCAAAAACAAGACAAGTGCTCAAATGTTTTTTGATGTAAAAAGTGGATCTAAATGGTTTGAACTGAATAGTATAAACACGTTCTTTTTCCTTCATTGCGTATTTTTGGGGTGAAGAATTCATTTGGTGGTGCGDTGAAAACTTTCAAGTCCCATTTCCTTTTTTTGTGTACCCTTTTGAAAGATTCCCATTTTACGGCCCTAGTGTTAGCCAGATTTTTCCCAAATCACTGAAACTTTTGCAAATCATGTGAAAATAAAAGCAAGTTACATTTTATATTTTCCAGGTTTTGTTAGCGTTCCCTTCAAGTTTCACATCGGAGAAATCAAGGTATGTTGAATTTTCATTTCTTGATGTCTTRTGAATGAGMGAAAGCGCTTTTRCCACAAAGAAAAAATCTATGACAAACTTTAATTTTTGATAACCTACAGATCCTAGACCCCATAGTTCTGAAACAGTCAATCCCAACCGTGAGTAGCCTGAGATACAGAAACGTTGTTTGGAAAAARGGAAATAATCATAGCAACAGTCTTAGCCTCACTCTGATGTGGGACTGGCCAATGACAAGCGACGTGGAAAAGCTTTCTTATTGTGACGTACATGTTGCTGTTGGCAGCAGTCAATCATATGTGTTTGTTGGACGTGCTTTCGTAGACGCGTACCGGGTTTGTAATCTGGCAGTTCCTGCTAATGTTAATTCAGTAGAATTTGTTATCCAAGCCGTGACGATATCCAGACGAAAACGAACACTAAATGATTCTGCGTCGATTATATTGGCGTGGGAGTAAGTTATCATTATCCAATAGACTAATAATAGTGAATAACAACCTCGTTCCCAGGGCCTTATCCCTAAGGCCCTGGGAACGAGGTTGAGCGAATAATTAATAAAAATATTTTATTATTAATAATTCAAATATAGAGAATTTTTTGTAATATACAGATCTATGTGTTTTGAGATATGCTAGTTACGCACAAACTGAATAAAGAGTGAGATGTCTACATTGAAGATTCATATATTTTTTGATAGAGATGTGTCAGCCTGAGGATGGACAAAGTTGATAAAAAGATGATAGAAAGGCGACCGCAATACAGTAAAACCCCTCTAATTAGAAACTAAAATTTAAGAACCGGTCGGGCTGATATTTTCATTTTCAGACGTTTGAAACTCTGGAATCCGCGACTAAAATGAGTAACTAGAACAAGCATGGAATTCGAAATGCCAGGGGACGCTATGGATTCCATATCATGTTACGAGATCTGTGACTATCTCAGTCAATACTGAGTAAAGAAATTTCGAAAAATCTTTTCCTGGCCGATAAACACTGAGTACTGCAAGCCAAAATGAATTTTGGAAATATATATCTAAATATGGATAAAAAAYGCTTACATATGCAAGAATTAATGGTGCCTCGTCATCATTGGAAAGCGTTTGTGGCATTCTGAAATGTCCATGATATATTAATAGTTAATTTTTCTATATAATGTGCTTTGATTGTCCTAAAATAAAATTCTGATCTGMAGGCCAGTGGTTAAGCTTGAYTAGCTAGAGTTCTTTCGTGGGACAACTTCCACGCGATTGAATCGGGTCTTCGCACCTTCTTTTGACAACTGATGGCCTGGTAAACTRAAAGTTCTTTGTTTAGAAAGAGAACCATACGTCAACTTTTCCTCMAGATTTTTAAACTGGGAAAATATGAGTCTGTTCGACTGAGTGACAGGAAGAGGTTTTAGAGTTCTTACTTTGGTGTTTAGCGTGTCAGCAAGAGTCGAAAAGTGGGACGATAGAGATCCACGAGACGTCTTCCGACCTGCGTTCGTTCTTGTCCTTGCTTGTATTTGTGCAGCAATGTAAGTGTAAGATTTTTGTTTTTCAAATTCTGCACACTGGTCCACTTCGTCAGGATTTAGACCCTGTTCTTCAGGCTTGMCCGCTCCTTCGCTTTCATCGCTCTCTGAACAAGCGGACAAAGTACGCTCTCTTTTTAACACTGGAAAGCTTGTCATTTCTCTTCGATAGCTATTACTGCCATCAATAAATCTTCTCGCTAGTGAGGTTTCYTCCAAAGACCCTGTCGATGTACGAATGTCACGAAGAAACTTCTTTAACTTTATTTTTTCCCGATGGAATTCTCGTAGATGCTGTTGCTCTTGTCGGTCGAGAATTTCGTAGTATTTTTCCAAATAATGAGCCTGTACTCGGTTTTTGTTTAAGGTGTAAGGTGACTCAATTTTGATGTACTTTGCCATTTCTAATCAATAGTTGGTTTGTGCAGTGAGCTCTACTGACCATGCAGAATGGAGCGTATCGCTTCWTGCAGCAAGTGTCGTCATCATGCACTGCTGTAGGTCGATATTTCGGGAATGTGAAGCCATAGACTCATGGGGAAGGGGTAGGGGGCCGAAGTTAAGTTTTGCACGCTATTKAAAATCCGTTTGCAATGAATTATTATTARGTTATCAAATTATCAGTCTATTCTGCTGAAMCCAAGTTTGCTCAATTCAGAAGCCATGCATCTCCGCAGGATTATAAAGTCTGTATTTAATWTGATGTCTTTTTAAACGATTGACCGGTCGCTATTTGACGTACCCCTCCCCCTAAAGAACATCTGAMTRCTGCAGTTAGTTTGCGATAAAGGAATTTTCACAAGACTCTTCTTGCTGTGAATAGGTGAGTAGTATACAAGGAGTCTGACTGTTTGGTTGACAGATTAACGAAAACTTGAAAGGGTTCAGTTTCAACAATGGACGGCGGGACATGACGGAGGAATGGACCWCTTGCCGATCTGCTAAAATAGATCCAAATAACTGTGTCCGATCATATCAAAAACACTTTTGTTGTAATTTTATTTTAATCGTTACTTGGTAATCATTCTTACGTATACAGATTTAGAAACACCAAACTCGCRATCTGATTGGCTACATTAGTATCCCACGGGTMRAAGAAAACAAMATGTATTTTGGTCTGGATCTCGGAAATCTTGTAAAAAGAAAATCTAAGTATCATTGAATATAGTATCTACATCAATTTCCTTTGTTCATATATCAAAACTATCGGCAGTCAATATAATAAAGAAATAAAAGTAGCTTCTTCAAAGGGGTCGTTTCAATCGACGCATCGACTACTAACTTCATGATATCATCCCGGCGATGTGGTTGACTGCAGACATGTGCACGGAAAAAGCATTGCACGTTTTAACATCAAAAAAGCAACTGAAACTGATGTTTTATTGACCATTTTTGAGTTAACAAAATCATAAAGTGCTTGTAACGTAAAAAGATAAATAAGTATAAAAATATGTAAATTTGCAAAGTTTCCACGATTCATCACATCAATGCATTTTTTTCCGTTAGGCACGATAGCAATAGTCGGTATGCAGAGAGGTCGTTTTGTGCCGGAAATCATAGAGTCAATTTCGTACGGAGTGGGAAACCCTAGAAATAACCGCACGGTTACCGCGCAGTTACCGGACCTGGCCTGCACAATTTTTGTGAAGCAATGAGACACTAGAATTTGGTTATACAGTACAATTACGGTTACAGTACAGTACCGTCCGTTTCCCACTCATACGAAATTGACTCTAATGACAGTTCGCGCTCTTTTTTTATCCGCTAAATGACATGCAGTTCCCAGCCGTTTTTGATAAGCGGCTTTTCAGCGAGATTTTGGGGGGGCTRTAAAAAGTGGGAGGACTAAAATTCCCATCTGAATGTCGCTGCACATTCACCCTATTGACGGATGTGGTTGACCTAGTGGTTTATGGATCGACTTCGCTGTCAGTAGGGTCAGGCTGCACGTACGCAGGCCATATGCTCAGTTTTCAGCCGCCGGGATTTCGATACATCGGAACAAGTCAAGTCGAACTGATTCACAGATTTCCGGCAGGTTACGGACAGACTGTGATATCCCTTAAACAAAAGCTGGAATTTTACCTGATTTTATCCCTGGTGTAAATCAAAGCGGACACCGAGTTTGTATCAATTTCTTTACGGAGAATAGTCGAATCGATTTATGTTCAGCTCAAGGCGTTTTATGAACGTGACCTTGACATCTAAAAAGTCATTTTTTTATCATTTTTGTGACGAAAGGCATTATGGGGCCTCTCGTTACTATGTCATGATGTTGAGTGACGGAACCGTAACCATCCACTTGTAGCAGGCGTTCCTTGCGAGTCCTTTAAGCTTGAAAAGAGAAAATCACTAGAAAAAAGAAAACGAAGTGAAAACAGCWAAGAAAAAGACTAAATAAAAAAGAGCAAAAAAGAAAGAATAAAAGAAAACTAGAAACAAAMMSMAAARAAACAATACGCAAGCAAAAAAGAGAAATTCCAGCAGCAGGACTCGAACTCAGGACTTTCACTTCAGGAGAAGATGTACCCCCCCGGAATACATAAGAAATAATGAAAATAAAAATCTAAAAAGATGGGACGATTCCCCCGAGACATTCTATGAAGCTGAGGCGTCGAATCGGCTTACGTTACGGTTAGAGATTTCGGCTCTTCCACGTTATCCCGAGTGAACATAAAACTTAGTCTTAACCAAAAGGCCAGGGAGTGAGGGGGTAGCCGCCCACTAGAGCATACCTTTAGCTACCCTCTTAGACCATCGTACTATGAAGACACTTATAGATATYTAAYAWSTAATTGGGGTAGTCTATTCGGTGAAGATCTATGCTAATATATGACGTCACCAAAATCCAAAGGGAGTAGCGAGCCAATCAGAGCYCAGCTCAGGAATTAGCAAACGATACAGGCATAATCATTCTTCAGTAGCTTTATTATTTGACGGGGGTGGGGTGGGAATGGTGCTGAGTGGTAGTTTGCGGCCAAATACCGATGGTCGGTGTAATGTGACGGCTTTCACCAAGCTGTTCAATTGTCGTTATTCTTGTCCAAATCATCACATTTTAAATTAGTTTTACAGTTCTTGTATCAGAAAGGCATTACTAGTATTCGGATAAAAAACACGACAAAATCTCTTGAAATTCTTAAGACCGATACTAGCTGTTGCCAGAGATTTGCATGGATTCAAGTAAACACAATTAAGCTACCTCTGAAACTCCAACATTACACTCGAACGTTCCACATTTCGATAAAGTTCTTTACAAATGGATCAATATTGATTATCAAATAATTATTGAATATAAACTAGTGAATACTAATAATTGAAGAGAATCAATAATAATCCGTATAAATCGTATAATCAAATTAAAAATTATTTTGCCAAAATAATTTTTAATATAATTTTTCGAGACATTCTGTCCGGGAGTTCGTCCAGAGACGTGAAAAATCTAGGTGCCAAGTCGATTGTATACTATGACGGCCCAAAGGGCCAAAAAAATTCTTGCAAAGCAAAAAAAATTGAAAAATCTCCACTAAAGCTTTTATTCTTTAAATTTACCAATAAAAAAAAATTACGTACAAGCGCGCGCCTGGAGTTGACTGTCCTTCTGAGGGACAAAACTGAAACACGGCTCATGCTATAAAAAAATATTCGCGCCTCACGGCTAATTTTTTCGCATTTTCACGATTCAGCCGTTTCACGGCTCACGGTTAACCCCATTAAGATCCCCATATCTGTTTTCTTTTCGTATTTTTGGGCTTCCTATATCTTTATATCATACGTGTGGTCGGTCATGTGATTGTTTTTAATTRATATCTTAACGGGAGGAGGGGTAGTGTACTTTTTTGTCACACTTAAAATCATCCTAAAAGTCATTAAAAGATGCTTCTTTTAAGCTATAAAGAACAGTATTTTGATAGAATAACAATTTTCTAGCTTTTTATGAAGAATAATCCCATTCAAAAAGCTGGAAATACGGATAAGTGTGTGCTGTAAAATTAACCTACTATATCCCCTCCCCTCTAAGTTGAAACGTTGACCACTAGAGGAAACCTTCCAATATGGCGGGATGTTGGGATGTAAGAACATGGAACGTCATTTTATTAGGATTAGCTTTTATGTTCATTTTCACAGCCTTTCAAACTACTTCGATTATAGAGGTAAGGTTTTTTTGAAACTGTTTTTCGACATTTTTAACGCATTCTCTCATCAATAATGTGAAAAATTCGTAAAGGTTTTTCTATTTCACTTTCGTTTCACTTTGGTCGTTACAAAATTTTTATCTACATCAGATAACTTTGTTTGCACCGAATAAAATATCTAACTATTGAATTTGATGTTCCCTAAGCCTTACGTCTTACAGCAAGTCAAAGAAAACTATCCCAAAGACCATCACAACAAGACATTTGCAGGTATAATTAATATTTTTTCTTAATCAAAGGCTAACTTGTTCTGTAGATAACTCAATGTTTTTTTTACAAATTATTTTTAATATCTGTATTTGATTTTCAGGTGATGGATATGTCAGGTGAGCCTTGTACTGCAAAATCTTATTAGAAGAGTGGTTTTGATTGGACAAGCCAGGATTCTTAGACTTACATTATTGTGCAAGACTATTATTATGATTATGAAGTATATTTCCATATGTATATGACCACCTTTGTTTCCCTGAATGAAATTCAATCAAACTCAGATTTAATCCATATTTGCCTCATAGCTCTCTGTTGCTATGGTATTGACCTGAATATCGCCATGAATCTTAACCTGCATAAAGCTGAAACAAACCTGTTGTCAACTTGGGTGGGGGTGTACTGCTGGGACCTCAAAACCCTGACCCTGTTCCAGAGTGAAATTGCTGAAAACTATACCCTGTCCCAGAGTAAACCTACTTTTTTTACGGTGTTAAATTTATCTTTTTACACAACAGTCTGTTCTTCTGTGCAGTCCTCTAACTCACTATACAATTTACAATCATGGTAGATGATGTGATGTTAAATGATAGATTGTTTTAATCACAGCCTTGGGATCGTCTACTCTGTGTTCACGTTATCTAACTGGATAGCACCATCATTTGTTAGTGTTTGTGGTCCAAGAATCTCCATGATATGTGGTGGACTCTGTTACCTGTGAGTTTATTGTCAGGAATCTAAACAGCATTTAAATGTATCCTGATATTTCCCAAACCACAATTTTTTATGTGTTTCCAAAATCACTGATGACCGTTTAAKTGAGTGCAAATCGTCTTCCATCCTTTCAGTTTGGAYAAAAATACCTTTAACTAAGTWCCTCACAGGTACTATCAATCTATAATCTATTGCATGCTTGACACATTTAAACATAAGTAAACAATAGCACAAGCGTGCACTTTATTGTGGTTGATTGGGATTTAAAATGTAAATACTCATCAAAATATGTGGTTTAAAAATATTTGGACACRTTTAGATGCTGCATTTTTGACATTTCTTCATTTGTTCCTTGTGTTTATTGTTAGTTCCTTTGCTAATATTTTCTTGGATATTTTTGTCTCCTGTTTTCCCTTTCAAACAGGGTGCAAGGGAAAAGAAGTAATATTAGGAGCTYGAGTGTCTGCCTTATTGAAAGATCTCATTTTCAGCGCTAACTTGTTTACTGTAACTCACCAGTAACTATWTAATTATTTGTCTCTTAGTGTATTTATTGTATCTATGATTGAACCCATGACTTGGTCACTGTATGCAGCGTCTGTGCTCATTGGACTTGGTGCTAGTAGTAAGTATGCATTGAACTTTTACGGCTGATAAAATAAAACWATGARMACCTAAAATAAACAGCTGTTGGTCTAACATCTGTAACCCACAAAGATCAATCTTTGAATTTCTCTCTTCGCATTTAAACTGATATAGAGGGTATTACATTTGCACTTGAGATACAAAGTTTCTCTTAAAGTGTAGAAATGATCTCTCACAAGTGAGTGTAKTGAATRASTGAGACAGGATTTTTAACACAATAAGATGGATTCTCTATCTACWATATGTACAGATGGCATGTCGAGTGAAAATTATAAATTTCCAAAAGTATTTCATGGATAATTATATGTAAATATAATTAACAAATATAATGTTTTTGACAGTAATCTGGACAGGACAGGGGAACTTCCTCACTATCAATTCAGACACTGATACAATGTCAAGAAACAGTGGTATCTTTTGGGCTTTATTGCAGTGCAGGTATTAATACATCACCAGGAAGTCTACCCTTAGTAGCGAAAATATTGATGTATCTTTTTCACTTCCCGCGAAGGACTTTGCTCACACTACTCGTGGATAAAAGTATCCCCTTGCCCYCCCTCCCCCTCCCTCCAATRCAATTTTGTGTGGCTGTTTTTTCATACTCTGATCATTCATGAACCCGTACCTACAAATTGCAGTGGGAGGGAGGGGAGGKGAGGGSARARAAAAATAAGCATGACTTACAAGAGATACAGCATTCTTGGACCAAAGTGAAAAAATTGTCAAGTATTTATGTCCAAGATTGTACATGTAATGGAAGGTATTTAAAGGTCTACAGGAACTTTGTCTTATTGTCCTGTCCAAGAAGAATAGGGTTTGTCAAGAAAGTGACTTGTATATATGACGATATTATTGTAAGACTTATTGCATGGTCAAAATTTGGACCTTCACATCCAAAGTCTATAACCACTAGACCATTGTATCTCTCTATGAACAATGACCATCAMTTGAATATTGATGATTTATATTATGTTTAATTCATTTTTTTTTTTCTTGTCTAGTTTATTATTTGGTAATATTTATGTCTTTTTTGAATTTGGTGAGAGTACAACTATCAGTAAGTGGAGGAATAGCAACATATATATTGATTTAGTAAAATAAAGAAAATAAAG